GGGGGGGGGGGGGGGTTACTGGTCTTCTTCTAGCGTAAGCTATGTTTTTTAAAAACCTTAATGAGGATTGAAAAATAAAGCAATACAGAGATCAAAAGGAGGGGGTAATAGACGTAATTTGAAGAGACTCTGTTAGAGGGATAAAATAAGGTCCCAGCAAAACGTGAATAGTGAGATAGGATTACCGAAGCAAGAACCAGAATTGTGAAGAAATTCAAATACTGTCTGTTAGAAAGAAGCCACTGTTTTATCTGTTTTAAGTGGTTGCTGATAATTCCACTATCTTCTTTTGAAGCAGAATCCAAATCTTCCACAAGTTCCCCTTCGCTACCAGAGATACGAGCTGCAATTTTCAAGAGCACGGAAAACATCAGTACCACATTAATCTGGTGACTCCGGCCATTCTGCCACTAATGCATTACTGTAAAGCGGTGCTGTGCAAGATAATAATTGGAACTATATATCCAAACTTATTAGTGTTGTGGATAACTCGAAATATTATAGAACTGAAAAAAACACATGAAGTTGAAAAAAGAAAGAAGTTCTATTGCTGTAGAAGGAAGATGGTAGGTGGGCTTAGATAAGGAATTTAGGAACTTAACTCTATTTCAAAGCTTCTGTGGAAATAACATTCCCAAAGGTATTCCAAGCTGAAGGTATAAAGAACTACAAGTTGTAAAATTTTCATCAGGCCCTTAGCAACAACAACATACCCAGTAAAATCCCACTAGTGGGGGTCTGGGGAGAGTAGAGTGTACGCAGACCTTACCCCTACACCGAAAAAGGTAGAAAGGCTGTTTCTGGGAGACTCTCGGCTCAACAGGAGAGACAATATCATCAGGCCCTTAGCCAGACTAGAAAATACCTCCAACAGAATTAAAAAGACCAAGGAGGAAACCAATTCTCCTTTTTTTTTTTTCTTTTTTTCCTTTACCACGAAGGAGAGGTAGCTGTCCCTCACATAGCGTAATTGTGCTCTGCCCTAAGGACTCTTGACATTATGATCTTTCTCGCCAGCTTTTTAGAAGCCGGAAGGGAAAGAAATATAAATGGATTGAAGTATGATTGCCAAAAAGATTGATACTTGTCATCCCAAGAACAGATGAAGAAAAAGATTACAGAGAAAAAAAAATATCCTCCAATACAATTATTTGGAGTAAAAAAGTTTCCAGAAGTTCAAACGCGATGTAAAGCACCTCTGTACAAGAAGAAATCACATTGGAAATGCTGCTTACCAGCTCTAGAGATGAAATAAGGAGGAAGCTCTCCAAGAGCTGTTCCAATACCCCACAATATAGCCTCCAACTGAACCTGATTCAGTATACTAGTCAATGGTACCCGTGCGCGGGAAGAAAACAATGGTGGACCAAATTCAGAACATTCCTTATCCAACCATGAAGGACCGCTTCGTAATTGAATTGTATCATATGGAGCACTCTTTATGTCAACCCTTCCGCAGCTCACAGATTTTATTGTGAATAGAGCGATATGAGGGCCCAAGTACAAGACGAAAGTGTGCAGACCAGAGCCTTTTAGAACAAAGAGAGACAAGGATGAGGAATGACAAAAATATAAGTGAAAGAGTAAAATAAACTGCAACTATAATTACCACCAAAACCACTTCCAGATAATTCTATAAACAATAAGACTTCCACATATCAGCAATAAAGGAAAATATATTGGTTGTTGAGAGATTAGGTCAAGAAACCAGAATTGAAATGACTTACAAGTCCGACTATGATCTCTAATAAAGAAAGCTCATGTGAGAAAGCATGATAGTATGCGTAGAATAGTCAGCTCGCTCAAAATTATTTTTATATAATGATCATTATTCCACGCCAAACATAAATTTTTAAAAAATACTCTTGACACAAACTAACACATCGATGAACTTCAAATGCTTGCTCAAGAAACCAGTAGAACTATCTCTACAAATACTAAAAGCAGGAACTGCTTGACAATGTGATCAAAGAAAAGATGGTCAAGTCCAGTTGCCAACTACTTTGCAAAGTCCCGTCATGTACTTTGGACAGAACACAAATGGGATTGAGCTAAAATGCTATATTAAAGAAAATGAGAAAAACACGTAGTACCTACAATAGTCGGTTCCTGTTAGAGATGATCTCATGATTGACTAGGGAAGGTAAAATAGGAGCATAGATGACAATCATACCATAGTAGTGCATTGCTAAAAGTTGGAACACAAATACTATCTCAACGAAAAAACCTACAACTTAAAGACAATGCTATCAGCCTATCACTCACTTGATAGAGAACACTGAACAGACTTCATTCTTTTCATAAGTAACACCAAACAGAGTTCTTTTAATTTTATAACGACATGCCAAGAGCAAATATCCACTCACCCAGCCCGATTGATGAAGCCACGCCAAGAGCTAACCACCAGAGTCCAAACCGAAGATAGCTGAGAAGCTCCTGAACCGGCTGCAGTGTCTTGAAGAAAAGCAAACATAAAGTCAAAATAAAAGAGTAAAAAGTTAGATGAGCATGCATGTGATACGGGATAGCAAGGACGATTGGAAGATAATCCACCCATGCAGGAATAAAATGTATCAATTGTAGTGTTTTTGGAGCTTGTTTCCTTCAATCACTAGAGAACAGACTCCCAAGTTTTCACAGTTTTAAGAGAGCAATGTCTAAGAATATCTGTAGCTATTAACTAATGATAACAGAGGTCTTACCACTATGATGTGAAATTTAGAAGGAAAAATGATGTAGAAAAGATTGACTGCCCAGGATATATCTTAAAGTCCATTTAAGAAAAAGGAACAAATTCAAATTGCTCTTATTGCTTCTTTGTGAAATACTGGATGAAGATTAGTTTCGCCTTAGTAGATTTAGTTTGAGAAAGCATGTTATACGGGAGAAAAATGATCTCCAAACAAGCATCTAAAGATACCATGATTCTTAAGAATGTACATCAGGTCCAAACAGAGGAAACATAAATGCTTCATTACTTGCCACCTCCTAGACCCCCACTCCCCATCCCAGCAGAAAAGAAATAATGCTCCTTACTTCAGCTATACCCTAAATCCTCTAACTTTAATTCAGAGGATTAACTATTTAACGAACTCTTGCTAGGATAACAAGAAGGAAAAACAAAAAAGTCCTTTTGGAATCTGTAAATGGTTACCAGCACATCCTTTGTGCTGGGTTTCTTTTTTTATAATACATAACTGTTACCTTTGTCAAAAAAAAAAAAAAAAAA